TAAGTCCAGGGCACACGAAGTAACATTTCAGTTTAAAACTTCCTTCAGCAGCAAAATATATTTTGATTTGCCTCTTTGGGCTGGCTGGATAGCTCAGTCAGCTAAGCTTCCAATCTCCTGCCCGGCTTGTTCAAGATGGAGCTGGCCGTGTGGGTAAAGGAGATGTTATTTCACTGAATCGGCCACCAAGATTTGTCGTCGCCAGTTTCCTGTACCACAAACAGAAATCGAAAACCTGAGTCTTTCGTTTTGGACATTTACCGACTCCCTTCTACAACAGGAGAGGCGGTGAGGGGGGGCAGCACAGCCCAAACATCCCAAGCTTTTTTGACACACACATGGAAAATGTGTTCAACTGTTTAGATAATCTTCCTAAATCCATGTCCTTCCCCTCATTGGTTAACTGGCTGCTCCTATGTAATTGCATGGTTCATTTCAAATGTAACACCTAAAAACCCGTTGCCCAAGGTTGAAATGAAACGATTCATTTATTACTATTTTTTTCCCAAAAGAAGAAGGGGGGGGTGAGGAGACCCAATGTACTTCGTTCATTTCAGCCTTGGTGAAAAACGGCTTTCATAGATGCTTGTGTTGAAGGCATGGGGTGTGTGTGTGTGTGGAGGATGAAAACCATGTAGTGATCAGCAGGGCTCAGTTGCAGAGGGAAGGGTGGACTTGAATACCACTGAGATCTTTGCAAGAATAATGTGGCAATAATACAAAGATTTTGGAGCCACCAATGTCCTTGGTTGTTGGTTCTTTTCCTTCCCTCCCCCTGCCTCTCTCTCTCTCTCTCTCTCTCTCTCTCTCTCTCTCACACACACACACACACACACACACACACACACACTCCCCCTTTGCTGGCTTAAGAGTTTATTCAGCTGTTTTAAATCATGCGCTTTCAGTTCCTCCTCCTCTAGCAAGGGCTCTTACCTTTTGAGTATTTCCAGATGGAGGCTTTTGTGAGTGACAAATGTCCCATGAGCCCTTCACCTGCACCCCTCCCCACCCCAGCCTCAGCTGCCACCTCCACCAGCCACAATTGGCCTGTCACAGGCTGCAGCAAACATGACGGCATTACAGCCTCATATGCTGGGAGTTTTCACAGTGACCCTGTGTGATGAGGTCATGGTTAATCCCATTTTACAGATGGAAAACCGAGGTTGAGAACCCGTAATTTGCATCAGGCCATCCCTCAAGCAAACATATGGGGTGGGGGATCGGTGAACCTCCAGATATGTCTGGACTCCAGCTCCCATCAGCTCCAACTACTGGCCATGCTGGCTGGTGGGGGGAAGTCTGATCCCAGCCCCATAAATATCTGGAGAGCCACAGGATCCCTATCCACAGTGTAACCAATTGAAATTATATATATATATATGGGGGGGGGCTAAGTTTCTCATAGTCAAGGCACAGCTTTTTTCTGAAATAATAATAATAATAATAATAATAATAATAATAATAATATAGGAATGGTACTCTTAGATAAAATGGTCTTTCACAGCCCCACCTCTAGATTTAGCAGTTTTATCAGCCTGGGCGGGGGCTTATTAGATGGTAATGTTATTGCTTCATTTACTTCAAAATGTGGTAAGCCAGGCATAAGTAAACTCCGGCCCTCCAGATGTTTGGGACTACAATTCCCACCATCCCTAGCTAACAGGACCAGTGGTCAGGGATGATGGGAATTGTAGTCCCAAAACATCTGGAGGGCCGGAGTTTGCCTATGCCTGTGGTAAGCCATTTTGCTGGATTTTCTGGGTGTGTGTTCTGCTGAATGAGTCCCAAACGTCAGCCCCCAACTCCACCCTTGATTGAAGGTATAGCACACCAGATTGAAAGGCATGCTACACATCATTCTTAAACCAAAGAAAGAGAGTAAGAATTGCCCACCTTCAGAGGGGTTCACCAATGTGATTCTGTGTGAGTTGCTGTTCTGAACATGACTCACAATGGAGGGGAAAGTTACAAAGGTGACTTGGGTCTGAACATAATGGAAAATATCCTCTGAGAGTGGGTGATTTTTCTGCATCTTTGTATTAAGAATTACGGGGTGGCCCATTCATGCAAAGTCTGTACAAAATTACGAGCCCTCCACCCACAGTGGAGACTTACTGAATGGTGGTAAGGTGAGAGTTAGGTACCATACAAAGTGGGCAGACTCCTTCGTGTGGTGAGTGGTGAACCAGCCTCGCCTTCCTTTGACTCAGAGGCCCCTCCAGTCCGTCACAGTAGGAGATTACAGGAGGAGGCTAGACCTCTTTAGGTAAAGCAGGACTTTGCTACACCTGTTGCTATTATTATGAGGGCTCAGAATCAGCTCATTTGCATGTTCAGACCCAGAAACATCCCCCTAAATAAATTCAGACATGACTCAAATTTTGGTTTTGGTTTTTGGCAGAATTTAGGCCACAACTTTATTGATTACAGTAAGTGACTGGTTGCATAGGCTCTGGTTCAACTAGCTCCCTGTCATGCAGGTAGCGCTGACTCAGGGTTCCAGCATAGGTCAGCCAAGGATGAACACCTGGATAAGCAGAAAGCCGGGAACAGGCTATCTCCACCACCCAAATGTCCCCCTGGACTCAGGCATGGGCACAACCCCCTCTCAGGGGTTGACCAAACCATCGAGTCCCTGGATTCCTTTAACGGAATACCCTTCACATAGGGATGGCGAGAGCGTTCTCCCATCCCTATCACCTGAACCAGAGCCTATCCGCAACCTTACAAGTTGTGATGATTTGCTACGCGGCGGGCAAAACCCAAATGGCAACAGCCAATCAGCCAAGTGGGGGAAATTCCTGCCGTGTCCCTGTCCCAACGACAGACTACACACAATGGCATAGCAAGGTCAAGCGCACAGCCCTAAAAATAGGGAGAGGTGGGCGGGTGTTCCGAATGCATGCACCGAAAGAGGAAGCTCTGCGTCACATGCATGGGTACAAATAGGTCCCTCAAATCGTTTGGACTGCATCCCGTTGGCCAGATTGCACCCAGCTTCGAGGGACCTACCAATCGGGTGTTGTGGCTGACCAATCGTACCCACCCACAACACAGGGTGTGGGTTTCCACTGCAATACATGCCCTCTTTAAGGGAGGACCCAATTTCTTACTGGAGCAATTTCATAGGGCTGTGCTCCAAAAGCAGTGCCCAAACGCTGCCTTGCCTTAAGCTCAGTTGGGGACTTGCCTTGCTGTGCAGCAGGGCAGGACAAGAACCTTCTAGTATCCTAGCACACGTCCCTCATAGAATTGTAGAGTTGGACGGGACCCCAAGGGTCATGTAGTCCAACCCGCTGCAATGCAGGAATCTCAGCTGACGCATCCATGACAGATGGCCACCCAGCCTCTGCTTTAAAACCTCCAAGGAAGGAGAGTCCACAACCTCCTGAGGGGGAAGAAGCATCGGTGTTGTTATGTGCGCTTTGACCTTCGGCAAGGAAGGTGCTCAGGATCGCAATACCTCAAGGACCTCCTCTCCCCCTATGAACTGACCCAGACCCTGCAACCATCACCTGAGGTCCTTCTTCGTGTGTCTCCTTCATGAGAGGTCCGGAAGGTGGCAACAGGAGAACGGGGCCTTCTCTGCAGTGGCTCCCCATCTGTGGAATGCTCTCTCCAGAGAAGCTCGCCTGGCACCTTCATCATACATCTTTAGGTGCTGGGTGAAAACGCTCCTCTTCAACCAGATCTTGGGCTGATTAACATCCTCTATTCCAGGGGTTGGCAAGGCTTACCTTGCCTGGGCCGGTTCACTGCGTGGGTTGGATTGTGGGTGCGCATGAGTATGTGCGCCTGTGATTTCCGGCGTCGGCATCTCCGCAGATGCGATTTCTGGCATCTGCGCATGCGCAGACTTGATTTCTGGCGCTGCAAAAGTGAGTCCCTGTGCCACGCTGTGCCGGTTTAGAGCAGCACACAAGGACTCGCCGAGCGGGTAGCTCGGTTCGGGGGTGGCTCGTGGGCCAGTAAAATGACCCCCGTGGGCCGCTTGTGGCCCATGGACCTTAGGTTGCTGAGCCCTGCACTATCCTTTTAAATGTGTTTGTGGGAGGGCAGGTATTGGTTTGTTTCTTGTTCTTGTTTTTATTATGTATACAAATTAGCTAGGTAGCTGGATCTAGAGCTTTGCTGGTTTTTCTCCTCTGGCAGTTGGCCTGAATATGGATCAATCTATCTACAGTATCTGTCTATCTATCTATCTATCTATCTATCTATCTATCTATCATCTATGCAAATTTGCATGGTGAGTTTGTTCCCTGGGGTCTTTTACCTACCCAGGAATGCCCCTGCTTCAGGATAAAACTGGTTCACCTAGGAAACAGTTAAATCTCTTGGCCAGCTTTCGCCTCTCTGCAGAGAATACTAAGCACACTTTGTTCATTCTATAAAACTCAGTCTTGGTTCACTTTTTCCTCTCCTGCTTTCGTAGCTGGGCATAGCAAGAGGACCTTGTGACATCCTCCAGATCCTGAAGGAGCTGGTTATAAAAGCACAGGCTCTCCAAGAGAAAACAACTCTTGCTTCCAACCACACCCTCTCCAGGCCGTTGCTGTGCAGATGGGATTCCCATTTGCTTCGCTTTAGGCTGAGACTAAACAACGTAAGGCTGGCAGTTCCAGTCCCTATTTATAGAGAGAATGTATCTGTCGCTTGTAACTAAGGAGGTGGGTGGCAGCTGTCCAAAGGGGTGGGCTAGTGACTAACCACAGCATGATATTTCCACCTGGAATGTGCCATTATTGGGAGTTAGCCACTTCCCAGAAAATTGGGTAGCAATTGTGCTAGGTTCATAGCTCTCTTTAGCTACTCCATGGCGATAAATGCAACAGAGCTACAGACCAATCCGTTTTCAAATAAAACAGGAATGTAGTGTGTTGCCTCTTCTGTATGCGATGAAAACTTCAGAGAATCATCGAAAAGAATAATAGAATTACAGAGTTGGAAGGGACCTTTGATGATCATGTAGCCCAACCCCCTGCAGTGCAGGAATACGCAGCTAGCCAATACAGGGATCAAACTTGCAACCTCGGCATTATCAGTACCATGCTCTAACCAACTGAGCTATCCCAACTGACCCAAAGCTCCTGGTCTTCAAGAGCATTTTTGCCTATTGTTTTTATTGTACGGGGAAAGGCCATTGTTCAATGGTAGAATTTAGGAGACTGCCCTGATACTGAGTCAAGCCATTGGTCCATTTAGCTCAGTATAGTCTACACCAGGCATGGCCAAACTTGGCCCTCCAGCTGTTTTGGGACTACAACTCCCATCATTCCTAGCTAACAGGACCAGTGGTCAGGGATGATGGGAATTGTAGTCCCAAAGCAGCTGGAGGGCCAAGTTTGGCCATGCCTGGTCTACACTGACTGGTCTTGACTCTCTAGGGTTCTCTCCCAGCCCTACTGGCCAATGGCAGGGATTGAACCTGGGACCTTCTGCATACTGAGCAGATACTCTGTGACTGAGCTAGGGCACCTGCTTGGCATGCAGAAGGCTCCAGGTTGAATTCTTGGCAATGTGTGGGATGGAAGAGACCCTTACCTGAGACCCTGGGCGGTCAGTGTAAGACAACATTGAGCCAAATGAGCAATGATCTGTCTTGGAACAAGACAGCTTCTAATGTTCCTGCTGCAGTTGTAGGGGGTTGTATGGGGTTTTACTGGGGAGGGGGGGTAGTACCTCTGGTAGGAGACACGTCATGGGGTTGTATCCAGAGTAGACCCATTGAAAATAATGTACTTAAGGTAGTCCTGTTCATCAATGGGTCTACTTTGAGTAGGACTAGCATTGACTACAACCCTCAAACTGCTAGGTCCACTCCGCTTATTCACCCCCCACCTCTTTCCTTACCTCACATTTGTTGTCTATGTTTTTAAAACTTAAAATTCCCAGCATTCAATATACGCCGTTAAACTAAATGCTTACCACGCAGCTAGTCTTATAATGTACCCTATTCTTCCTGGTCTGGTTTCTAATACAGTCCCAATGTTTTGTTTTGCTTGCTTTTTTTTTTTTAACCACTGCTGTGAGCTGAGCAGAAGTTTCCACTGAGCCGTGCAGAGTAACGCCTAAGACTATTTTTCTTTTTCTTCTAGAGTGGTTAACTTAGAAAGAGAGCCTGTGAGTGGATAGATGAAGTTCAGACGCCCGTTTGACTTGCATCGCCTCACACTTACCTACGGCACAGGATGTCATCTGCTATCTCTTTGTGCCAAACAGCTCTCCCTGTTTTGGGGCATATGTCAGTGAGGCTCCCAGCTTCCTCCTTTTCCTTCTGCCACCATGGAAGTCACTGTAATATCCAGATGAGTCTCAAATACAGTTATACCTCGGGTTAAATATGCTTCAGGTTGAGCATTTTCAGGTTATGCTCCACGGCGACCCGGAAGTAACAGAACACGTTACTTCCCGGTTTCACCACTTGCGCATGCACAGACGCTCAAAATCACGTCATGTGCATGCGCAGATGTGGCGAATCGCGACCTGTGCACGCGCAGAAGCGGGTTGCGTTCGCTTCAGGATGCGAACAGCGCTCTGGAATGGATCCCATTCGCATCCAGAGGTACCACTGTAATGATCACTATTGTTGGGCGCAATCTATCCAAAGGGAAAGTCCTTGGGTGGTGTTTAGCTTATCAGATTTAGCTGGGAGGGATGCACTGGATGGGTTCGGGATGGGGAGGTTGAGATGTCATTACAAGAGGGTGTGATACTGGCTGCCTTGAAAGAGTTGGAGGTGCGGCCATTCCTAAAAGACCCTCCCCGGTGTGTTTAGCCTGGATAAGAGGAGACTGAGAGGAGTTATGATGGCCATCTTCAAATATCAAAAGGACGATGGACGATGGAGCTGGCTTGTTTTCTGCTGTTCTGGAGGCTAGGACCCAAACAGTAACTTGGCTTCAAGTTATAAGAAAGGAGATTCCAACTAGACGCCAGGAAGAACTTTATGGCAGTAAGAGCTGTTTGACAGTGGTCCCTCTTAGAAGGTGGTGGACTCTCCTTTCTTGGAGGTGTGTAAGCAGCGGTTGGATGACTATCTGTCATAGATGCTTTAGCTGAGAGTCCTGCATTGCAGGGGGCTGGACTGGACGACCCTAAGCATCTCTTCCAACTCTACAATTCTGTGTTTCTAGGACACTAATGTCTCTTTCCTGGGCAAAATGACTAACAGAGTGATGGCTAAGTAGCTGAAGATATGGCTGTAGGAAGCAGATGATCTAGGGTTATTTCAGCCTGGTGTTAGACCTCATTCTGACACTGAAACTGTCTAGGTCACCAAGGTTAAAGACCTATACCAAGAGAGAGGTGACCTATGCAACCCTGTTGGGTCTCTTCTCAGTGGCTTTTGATACCATTAACCATGGTTTTGTGGAGCAACTCTGTAAACTTGGGTGTGGGGGCACTACTATAGTAGTTCTGCTCCTGCTATCAGGACCACTACTGGAGAGTGACATTAGGGGAACCTGCTCAGCCCGTTGGTATTTGTGCTGTGGGGTCCCATGGGGTTCCATCCTGTCCCTTCCATGCTTTTCATCCTCTTTAGGGAGTTGCTGGGAGGCATCATTCAGAGATTTGAAGCCTGATGCCACCAACATGCAGTTGCCCTCAATATGGCTCCATTCATCTGATCGCTTTTCAGGTGCTGCTAATTACCTAACACTGAAGTTGGTCCAAGACAGACTGCTTAGATGGCAGAGTCCAGCAAGTTAGGGAGGAGGAACTCCAGCTATTTTGAGCTGTCCGGGCAGCAACCTGATTGTGAGAACTTGCAACCTTGCTCTCCAGCCTGAAAATTTGCTTCAGTTCACATTGAGAGGCTAACGTACCACACTTTCCAAATCATTACATGAACCAACACAGCCATCTTTGGAAATTCACAGGTCTCTAAATTTTGCAGAGCCATGTAATATGCACAAACAAATAACATATATTGGGTTATAAAGTGTGCATAAAAATATGCCTGTATTGGTGACAATAGCATACATTATTATATTATGTTACATTACATCATATTATGGGGAAATGGCTTTGCAAAAATGTGTATATTAGGGAAATTGGCATGCAAACAGAAATTAGGAGAAATTCACATGTAGAGTTTGATGAATTTTCTTGTGCTTAAAAAAAAACTGATGTGAAAATGTAGAGAACCGTATTTAACATTGGAAAAAGGAGCAATTGAGAGAACTAATATTGACAGATTCACTCTCCTCTACTTTAGAGGCATTTGCAAACAAACTCTGGTCACTGCCAGGTATCTGTTTATTGAACATTCATTGTGCTTTGTTGGTGGTGGTGGTGGGGTTATATGACGTCACCCCAAGCAATTCTTTTCCCACCCTTTCCAGTGCATTTTCCTGTCACTTTCCTTAAGCACAAAATGGTTTGAGGTTTTGGTTTGAAGGTAGGTTTCTTATGCAAGACTGCCAAGTCCACTTTAGTTGCACAACCTGGATTTGCCAGTGGGCAATGACTCCCCCCTCCCCCGGAAAAAAAACAACCAACAAGAGTCTGGAAGTGTCCTCCATACCCATGCACACACAAAAGAGGAAAAATTAGGAGACTCCAAAAGGATGGCTATGCAGCCTTAGCAAAAGGCACCAAGTCTCCCAAGACAGTGTAAAAACTAACACATTCCTCATGGCAAACACAATTCGCCAGCATGCCATTGTTGGAATGAGCTCCTTTACCCCTTCAAGCCTTCTCATCAGCTCTTCCTCCCTCTTTCTCGTTTGCTAAATTCAAATTAAAAGCAGGCTGTCCCCATGCCGAGTAGCGGTTCATTTGACCAAACTTTGTGGGCGAAATGATTGCAAGCCGAGCCAAACAGGAAACAAGTCACTTACCTGCGAGACGACGATTCCCGTCTTCAGATTTCCAGAATTCTGCTCCCTGAAAGTTTGTGTTAACAAGAGTTGAGTGCCAGTGATGCAGCCGAGGTGCCTTTTTGATTCGGTGAGACTGGCTCCTCCCGCTTATTCCTTGACTGGTCGCTGCTTAGTGGAACTCTCCTCTGTCCCAACCTCAGCGTCTCCACACCAGCCAGTTGGGATCCTGTTTGTGCACATGAGATGGAAAACTACAGGCCCATCACACCCGCACATCTATGTCCTGAAGGTTGCATACAGGAACACAAGCCCTGTTCACAATTCAGGAAAAGAAAAACCCGGTCGTACCTAAGGTGTCAGTCATTTCATAAGTGTGCCTAGGCTGAGACAGCATGTGTTGTTTTTGCTGTTTTCTTTTTTTAATGTTACGTTTCTTGGGGGAAATGGCCTTTAATCACCTCTCTTCTTCTAAATTAGCATCCTGGCCATACAATGGACCTTACTTCACTGCAAAATAAAGGCAACAAGACCTTGATTCGTGTCCGGCCCACACATGCTACGAACAAAAAGAGCTTTCAGTCTGGCTCGAGGTCTTTATATAATGTGTAGCTCTTGAAACTAAACAGCTTACAGTAGGGTTGTGTAAGAGGCCTAATGTGTGGCATAAATCAACTTTGCCCTGCTGGAGTTGGACTGGGGGCTGTGAGGGGAGAGAGTCTGTGTGCATGTGTGATGAATGAGTGCTTTGTTCAGGGGGGGAAATAATTGCTTGCAGGGGAAGGTTGACGACGTTTGTGCACACGCTAGTATACAGTGCAAATGGCAAGTCCCCGTCTCCTTCTAATTTAATTTCATAGAAAGCAGGCACAAAGGGGGGGGCGTCTTTCTTTTACTGTGTTTATGCAAAGCATGCGAAAGAACCTTTCGCTCTTCCAGTGACACCTGGAGACAAAATTCCGCCACTGCCCGTAATAGCCTTTTTAAAATGAATTCAGGCAACAAGAGGTTTGGCTCTCTGAACTCACAAGTCGGTCGAGGGAGGGGGCTGATGGGACTGCTTTTAAAAGAGGGAAACACAAAATGTACAGAGGTGTCAATTTCTCTTTTGAGAAGCACAAGTGTTCTTCTGGGGGCTCCACACTCAGCCAGGGTGCGAACTTGAATAAAATATTGGGGGAGCCGGGTAACACACACACACACACACACACACACACACACACACCCCGTATAATTGATCACAAGACACGGTGCACACGGACTGGGGAAAATATGTTTAATATCTGAAAAGTATATGTGATGTGCAAACAACGCTAGTGGGGTTTCAAGAAGCACTGTGAAAGTTGAGAAATGTTGTTAAAAAGAAATAGATAGTGGGAGGGAAGATTAATGGCAATAAAAAACAGTAGAAATGCGGAATTGAGAGGTAAATACGGATGATTGTCAGAGAAGCTGAAGGAAGTCCAAACAGAGTTTAATTTGTGAAAATTTGGATAAGATTGTATATTTGTGTTGAAAATTAATTAAAATTATTCCAAAAAAAAAGACACGGTGCACACACACCATTTGAATGGCAATGACCATCAACTTGGGGAGGGCTGGCCCCCTCAAATATTTTATTGGGGGGGGGCTGGAGGGATTTCAGCTGCTGCGATGATGCTCAGAAAAAATGAATGTGTTTGCATGCTCCTTTTGAAGTGCAGCTAAAATCTAACCACCACCACCACCACCCCACTCTTGTGGCTTAGTTCACACAAACAAAAGATGAAACAGTAAAACTGTTATTGGACTGTACTGGTTCCATACAGCTGAATGCCTCCCCATGGAGTGACAGGGAGAATCACTCAGGTGTTTTAAAGCAAACCATCAAGGAAGAAAGTTGGACTAGTAAATGGATATTTGTGTGCATTAGGGTTATACACTTGTATCTAGTGATGAGAGAGGATTCTGTCATGTGATCCTACCCCTTTTATGAATGAAACAGTCCAGGAACATTCCCCCCCCCATCTGCAGTCTGTGGGTTTTTTACCAGTGCCAGTCCTACTCACAAGCAGACCCACTGGAGTTGCTGGAAATGTCCACCGTGGATTCATTCACATCAACGGATCCACCCTGAGTAAGTAGCACATTTCAGATGCCAGTGATGGTGTGCAGTGATGCCACATCAACCTGCAACCTGTTTGTCCACCTGGTCCGACGTTGTCTTCCCTTGACTCACAGCAGCTCTCCAGCAGAAAGAAAGAGGTTTTTCCCATCACCAACTAGTGCTTAGCTGATATTTTAACTGTGAAATGTGCCTGAAGCCTTCTGCATGCACAGTGCACATACCGCCCCACCCTGTGCGGTCCTAGCTCAAGGCCCCACTTTGAGTGAAAATAAAGTGTGTTCAGCAATTCATCCAGAAGATGCATGGAAGTGTTTTGGGGAAAATGCTCTGGTTTCATGCTGGGTGCTGCCTTAGGCATTGTGTCACACAATGTTATGCTTAAGAAGAGAATAGTTTCTGCCCAAGGCGGTCTCTCAGCTAGAGTTGACTGGACTGCTAGCCCTGCTGAAAGCCAGATAACAGTCATAGATTCCTGTTCTGGGTGGTCTGACCACTTAGCTTTGCTCCGATATTCCACGTGTGACTGGGCTTGACATAAGTCAGAAGGCAAGCCCCAACCAGTTTGTATGCAAACATATACCAGGAACTCCTCTGCATAAATTATCCTGCAGCAGCATAGCTGGAAAACAAATGCATTCCAGGTTCTTGACTGCTAATGCATCACATACCGTAGACTCCTAGAGCTGGCAAAATGGTTGCTGGGGAGAGCCATGGTCTTGTTTGAGGTGCACTTTCCTGGTGCAAGAAACCTTGCTACTCATTTTTAGGAATGGACAGATCCATCGAAGTCTTGTCCGTTCCAGTTCTTCATGGGGATGGGGCTAAGTCTGTCCTGTCTCATTTCCATGTGAATTTTACAAGAAATCCTTTGAACTCTGTTCAGAAAAACTTAGGATAGAAATACATACAGTGGTACCTCGGGTTAAGTACTTAATTCGTTCCGGAGGTCCATGCTTAACCTGAAACTGTTCTTAACCTGAAGCATCACTTTAGCTAATGGGTCCTCCTCCTGCTGCCGTGCCGCCAGAGCACGATTTCTGTTCTCATCCTGAAGCAAAGTTCTTAACCTGAAGCACTATTTCTGGGTTAGCTGAGTCTGTAACCTGAAGTGTATGTAACCCGAGGTACCACTGTACAAGCATATATGCGCTTATGAGGGAATCTGATGGATGCAGCAATAACTCTGTCCAACCCTATAATAGAATCTGCAGGATTGCAGATTCTAAAGAGGACCAAAGGGAACTCATACACTGATCTGGGTCGTGACCTGCCCTGATCAAATCAGGGGAGTTGGCTTTGGAATCTGACTTCTGCAGATGCCTCCTCCATCCCTACACATGGTCAACTGGGGGAGTCCTCATCAGAGGAGGACCAGGAGGAGCCACCAGGATAGTTCTGTTGGCTAGAGCATGGTGCTGTTAACACCAAGTTCACAGGTTTGATCCCCGTAAGGGACAGCTACATATTCCTGCATTGCAGGGGGTTGGACCAGATGATCCTCAGGGTCCCTTCCAAATCTATGATTCTCTCACCCGGCCTAACGCCAAGCCTTGGGTCAGGCTCCATCTGGGGTCAAGGAGCTGGAGTTCTGCAATGAGACTGAGGTGGGGTGGTCTGCTGCCAGGGTGGCTCCAGCCTCTGACATCAAGGCTGAACAGGTCTCAAGCCTGCAGGAAAAGTGGCACCTTAAACCTGACCTATCCACAGAGGTGCCTGACTATGGACAAGGATTCCTCAGGAGTAAAGGTCTTCTTCTTCTTTGGCGATCACTCGTAGCCGAGTAAGATTGTCTTTGATGAACACGGTCTTAACAGTGAGTCCGTGACTGTGGAGGCCAATTCTGGATCCACACACCCTTCCACAGGGGGGACATAAGTTTCCGGGTGGGAGTTGATCACGGTGAGGGTTTGCCAAGCGTGCCTTCCTCTTAGCACATTTCTCCCTTTCATCCAGAGTTTGAGCGTCTTCAAAGCCCATGACACCTTTGGTAAAGGCTGTTCTCCAATTGGAGCACTCGCAGGCCAGTGTTTCTCAATTGTCAGTGTTTATACTACATTTTTAAATATCTGCCTTGAGAGAGTCTTTAAACCTCTTTTGTTGACCACTAGCATTACGCTTTCCATTTTTAAGTTCAGAATAGAGTAGTTGCTTTGGAAGACAATAATCAGGCATCCGCACAACATGACCAGTCCAACAAAGTTGATGTTGAAGAATCATGGCTTCGACACTGGTGATCTTTGCTTCTTCCAGTACACTGGAATTAGTTTGCCTGTCTTCCCAAGTGATGTGTAATTCTTTTCTCAGACACCGTTGATGGAATCTTTCAAGGAGTTGGAGATGGCATTTGTAAGTGGTCCATGTTTCACAAGCATACAGTAAGGTTGGTAGTGCAATAGCTTTGTAAACAAGCATTTTGCTTTCCCTGCGAATGTCCCAGTCCTCAAACACTCTGCACTTCAATTGGGAGAAAGCTGCACTTGCAGAGCTTGACTGACTCCAGCTACAACAGCAGAGGCTGCCGAACAGATGCTTAGGTTGTGGGGTTGTTTGAGGGCATGGTTGCTGTTATTATTTTTGCACCTTTAGATCTTCTTATGATTTATGTGCAAATGGTTTGATTTGGCTGTGGGCTTTTTGCTGTGTTTTATTTATTGTTCATGACTACATTTGTTTATGTTTGTAATTATGTAATTCATTTCATGTTGTAAGCCACTTTAAACCAGTGTTGCCCAACCTCGGGTCTTGAGCTGTTTTTGGACTACAACTCCCATCGTTCCTAGCTAGCAAGACCAGTGGTCACAGATGGTGGGAATTGTAGTCCGAAAAAATGCTGGAGACCCAAGGTTGAAAAACACTGGTTTGAACTATGGAAAAGTGGTATACAAACAAAATGATGATGTTGATGATGCTCAGGGATGATGGGAATTGTAGTCCAGCAACATCTGAAGGACACCAGGTGGCCCACACTGGTGTAGTTCCACCTTTAGATCCCTAAACGAGAGGTGGGAGAGAGTTTTCTTTATGTTTGGCTTTCTTTTTAAAAGATACTGCCACCTAGTGATCAGGATAGGAAAGGACACAATGTTGGCCAAGGTACGTAAAAAACTAAGGCGATTCTAAGTTTGTTGTACTGATATTGTATTCTGGATTTTTTATTTATTTTTTACAGGATAGAATAATGTTAGATTTCTAATGCTATTTGAATACATCCTCACCTATCTGTTCAGCTCGAATGAAGAAATAGCAAAGCATCCTTCGTGCTCTGCTGCCAGTTTACATCTTCAGCTCTCGCGCTCTCTCTCTCGCTTTCTGTTTACATGAGCACAAAAAATGACATTTTTGTATTTCCTTTTTAAAGCATGGGCTTTAGCAGGGGCATATTACTTTGGGGATTTCGCTGTTTTGCTCTCTGTCCGCGTCCGACGGAGGCTTCGGCCTATCAAACATCGTGGTTGATTTGTCGCTCGGATTCCCGGTAACCATGACCCAGTAATTCTTGTCTTCTTCAGCTCTGTGTGTATCCAGGTATGTGTGGCAGTTTACCTCAAATTCCTTTCCAAAGTATGACCTTCAAAAGAAGAGAGTAGAAATTCAACAATAATGGCTAAACATTCCGTAGCCTCAGCCTGAATGTCAGCTGACCCCACACACATACAATTTTAAATTTCTCAGTTGATTGCAGTGTGGCTTGTTTGTATGTGTGTTGGGGATAGGTTGTTGGGTCAGGTTAGCCATATTGATTCATACGCAATGGAGGGGGTAGGTTGTTGTCCCATTGTGCTGTGTATGTGATAAAGGGGGTGTCAGACATATATTTAAATGATTTATACTTAAAAAAGAAAAGAAAATACAATCCGCCACACACCTTGCATTTATTTGAAGTGGGGGCAGGAAGCTCACTTTGTGGTGTTGACTTATGTTTATAATAATAAATAATATTTTTTTAATTTATATCCCGCCCACCTTGCTGGGTTTCTCTAGCCAATCAAGTCAGCTTACCACATATATAAAAATACAAGAAAGCATCAAACATTAAGAAATAACAAAATATCCTATACGAGCAACAAACAAACCAATAAATCAACAGAAACTAATAGCAACTGCAACAATAGCAATAATAGTAATAGCAATAATAAACAGTTTATAGTTACAAATTAACCACCAACCCGAACTAAACATTTAATCAACATCAACCTGACAAAAAACAGAGGAACCAAAATTAGATCTTTTTAAAACATTTTAGCCAGTTGCCTTCTTACAGTCCTCAAATGTTGGCCCTGTTCTCCGATTACTTCTTTATATAAGGTTCGGCCAATATTCCTTCCCCAGTTACTCAAAGTATCCCCCCCCCCCCCAAAAAAAGAAACAAGGGCCAATTTTCTTTCTTGGGGAAGTGGAGGCATTTATTTTGATTTGGGGGGAGGAAGTGGTTGCTACTTATGAGGAAGTCCAGCCTTTGTAAGTATAGTCTCACACCACTTCCCACTGTCCCCAGAATTCCCTGGGAAATTGCATTTTTATTGGGCAGTTTTGGCCAATGTACACTTTCTTTTTGCAAGCAGCTCCCCCTGACATCTGCCTTCTTGTAAGCATTGTTTGGTTGGAGAGTGGCATCGCAAAATTCAGATAAGTGTGAATTTTGAAAGGTGGCCGTGTCTTGGTTCACATATTGTTTTACAAAGTGCAGATTTGATGGATCGCCTTTAAATGTTGAACTGAAATGAATTTATCCCCTGTCCCTGGTACCCAGGATTGCCTGGGTAACCAGGGGGTTCAAAACTGGTGTAAAGCCAATGCATATTTGGAGTGTAGTGTAGATGTGCCCTTTCTACAAAAGTTGCTCACCTTATCCAGAAGATCCGAGGAACTGCCAAGGCCTGATTTGTATGACTGTGAACAATGAGGATCTTTGTATTTGCCTAGAAATGGGGGCGGGGAGCGAGAGAGAAAGAGAAATACTTGAAGGAAAGAAGGGCTTAAATTCTGTTTACGCATGAATTTGATTAAATTTTCCTTGGGAATCAAAAGCAAAGCAGAGAGAGGTGTGGCAAGGAAGAATTATTGTTCAAACGGTGCAGAAAAGGCGGAAGGTGAAGAAAAGCTGCCCACACCATCAACTTAAAGCATTTCTTCCCCCAAAGAATGCTGGGAGCACAGACGCCAGGTTCTCACCAATTTTGGGGGGTGCTCAGCACATGTGAGTGATGTCACACACATAATATGCATATGTGATGTCACACAGTTGGAGGAAGATGTGAGGCCCACTGTAGCCACAAATAGGCTCAGCAAGGCCCTCTGCAGGCCATAGATATTGAGGGGACCCAGGCCCCTCCTTGAAAACTTTGGGGGCGCTCTCAGCCCCTTGGCCTCCTTAGATGGTGCCCCTGGCTGGGAATTATATTTTAACCACTTAGAGAACTATTCCCAGCACCCTTTCACAGAGCAACAATTTCCACCGTTCTTAACAAACTACAGTTTCAAGGATTCTTTTGGCGGGAAGCCATGTGCTTCAAATGTATAGTAAGGATGTGTCTGAAGATGGCTTGATGGGTAAAAGATGCAAAGCCGTTCCCAGAATATGGGCTGGCGTAAAGGTAAAGGTACCCCGACCGTTAAGTCCAGTCGCAGACGACTCTGGGGTTGTGCGCTCATCTCGCTCTATAGGCCAAGGGAGCTAGCGTTTGTCCACAGACAGCTTCCAGGTCATGTGGCCAGCATGACTAAGCCACTTCTGGCGAACCAGAACAGCGCATGGAAATGCTGTTTACCTTCCCGCCGGAGAGGTACCTATTTATCTACTTGCACTTTGACGTGCTTTTGAGCTGCTAGGTGGGCAGGAGCTGGGACCGAGCAATGGGAGCTCACCCCGTCGTGGGGTTTTGAACCGCCGACCTTCTGATCGGTAAGCCCTAGGCTCTGTGGTTTAGACCACAGCGCCACCCGCGTCCCTATGGGCTGGCATAGCAGAGGCCAAAGAGGTAAGAGTCATGGGAGGCAGCTAAAGGCTCCTAGAGCACAGGAGCTTGTGCAGAGCTAGTTTAGGAAAAGGAGGGAGAGGCGGTTGGAGAACATGAGAGAACAGTCTGAAAGGCAAGGTACGCTTAAGGGGCTCGGCATCATTTCTTACAGGAACTGGGAACCCTTCATATTCCATGCGTAACTGTGGGTCCAGATAGGTAGCTTGCCAAGAACACAAGTAGGTAAGTTCATCGGTCAAGAACACAGGCTGGAGGGAGGATTTCTTTGTCATGTTCTGAAAACTTCTGTGGTCACTCGCAATAAATAGCTGGAAATGGAAACATGTGGGAATGATTTGTCTGCGAATTAGATAAACATTGTTGTAGATTGACAGAGGCCAAAGAACAAGCAAAACAAATATTAGCGTGGTTACGAATCTGGGTCCAGTATTGCGCTGACATCATACTGTAATCACATGTTGCATTCTTAAGTTTGCTGTATGGACTAGTCTGGCATGAATGGTTGGGTGTGAAGGACTTTGCATTTGCAAAACTTCAGGAAATGAGGGACACAGAGCTGCAAATCCCAGCACTTGCCAAAAGCAGAAATACTACCTGAAGTTACATTGATCAAAGCCACACAGAAACCAAAGGCAACTTTGAGCATCCGGCTTGATGATGTCTCTTCATTGGGCACCTCTTAAGATATCATAGCCAAATTTTGTGAAATGGTTCCTGAGATCAAGGAGCAGGTTTTCATCTATGTTGGATAGAATTGGACACTGTTCAAAATTGGCCAGGTGTCAGGTCCATTTCCACCTGGCTATTGGCCACTTGCAACCAAGTGAAGATGCCCAAGGTGACAGGATGGCACCTGACATCTCCACCATCTGGAGGTGCATTCCTGGGCATCCTTGGATCGTGACTGTTTTCACACACTAGCAACACAAAGAGGAAGCTTTTAACTAACGTTGGAAGGAGTCTTTACTCAACAGGACTTACTTCTGAATTTTCAATATTTGTTTACTATTTAGAAGATTTTGGGTCCACTTTTTGGCTACAAGAACTTCCACATATATGGAATTCACCACAATAAAATACAAAAGAACAGAGTTAAGGACCAGAGCATCACGGAAGCAAATTGGCCATCTGGAAGGACAAGACTGAATAATGCAGCACAATAGTGGTGTGTGGGAAATCAGCTTTGAGTGGAGAAAAGGAATGCATCATCAGGGCTTAAAAAATAAATAAACCCTAGTGCAGGGTCAACCATTGTTCAGGTAAGGGGTCCAAGCGTAGTGAGATCCTGCATGGGAGACTGGTTCAGGGTCCCAAGTATGTTGGTGTGAGCTCTTCAAAGGAGAAGCAGGTTAAAATTATGAAGTAGGCTATCATCATAATCATAAACTGTAGTAGGTATCGCAGAGCTTTCCAAACTGTGTGTCACAACTTGTTGGTGTGTCAGCTGTAGCGTGTATGTGCGTTGCACGATATGTGTCCGTATCTCTTATAAGGGGTTAGTTTAACCTCTGGTTTACTAGTGAAACACATACACTATGTCGCAAAATGATGCATTTCTAAAAAGTGTCACCAACGTGAAAAGTTTGGAAAGCATGGTGAACAGTTAGCAAATAGCTGTTGCATCCTTAATCCTGTGTAGGTTTATGGTAACATAACATTATAGTCATTAACATTGTATGGGCCGTTCTGTTTCATATATTCACTTACCATCTTCTCTGGAAACCCTCCAGATGCTCCAAGACCAAAATTCTGCCCGAATCTAAGTGGCTCTCCCATGCATTCGCCTTCAATGCTTTAAAAAACAGACAAAGGTCATTATTTCAACAGAAGACATGTTACAGATCGTTTACGAGGGGTGTGTGGCAGATTCAAATTGATCCCGGTCCCGAGCCCAAAGCAAGATTCTCCTGAAGGATTCTGGGTTTGTGCAAAGCAAGGCAGAATCTTTACAAGGTGCACACAACTGAAGTAGGCACCTTGGCAATATAGGGTAAAAAAAAGGTAAAGGACCACTGGACGGTTAAGTCCAGTCAAAGGCGACTATGGGGTTGTGGTGCTTATCTCACTTTCAGGCCAAGGGAGCCGGCGTTTGTCCACAGACAGCTTTCTGGGTCATGTGGCCAGCAGGACTAAACCCTTCTAGTGCAGCGGGACACCGTGACAGAAGCCAAAGCGCATGGAAACGCCGTTTACCTTCCTGCCACAGGGGTATCTATTTATCTACTTGCACTGGCTTGCTTTCGAACTGCTAGGTTGGCAGGAGCTGAGACAGAGCAACGGGAGCTCACTCTGTCACAGGGATTCGAACCGCCAACCTTCTGATCGGCAAGCCCAAGGGGCTCAGTGGTTTAGACCACAGCGCCACCTTGGCAATATGGAGGCAAAGAAAAACATGCAGCAGACGACTTGCCTGCTAACAGCAGCACTAGTCTTGGCGTACTAAATAAGGAGGGAGAAAGAAGGAAAGAAAGAATGAATGAAAAAGAAAGATCCAATTCTAGGAAGTTATAAAATGATTCAACCAGTCTCCCACCTTAAAATCCGGAACGCATTCCGGCCAATTGGGGTCACGCTGCTGATTGCGCTCATATCACAGGGAGCTGTCAGTTCATTCTCTGAGAGTATGTCTGTTTCCTTGGGATTAACAGCCAGAGATAGATTCCCACTCATGGTAGGTTCCTTGTCAGGTGAATTGTTGTTATCTGGGCTGACCAGCATAACCGTATCTCCAAAGTGAATAAATCCGTCTGTTGAAATGGAGAGCTGCTCCTTTTTTAAAAAAAGAATAAGAAGAAGGGGTGGGATCTCAGATGATTATAGCATGATTTGGATTTTCACTTTGGTTGTCTCCAAAGATCATTTTTTTATGATCAAGCCACACTTGTTTAGGGAAGTTTTTAATATTTTATCACTTTTTTATTATTAATATTCTGTTGGGAGCCGCCCATAGTGGCTGAGGAAATCCAGTTGGATGGGTGGGGTATAAATATATTATTATTATTATTATTATTATTATTATTATTTGCTTGCTGCACTGGAAAAGATGGGCTTCCCACGCATCCTTACAAACACAACCTTGAAGATGAAACTGCCCATCTGGCAAAAGCAGCCTCAAGTCAGCGAAGGATCTGTTGGTCTGTGATATGGCACATCCTTCTCTTGCAGATTCCAAGTTCAGTCCCTGGCATTTTACAGGTAATGCTTAAAAAGGAGCCCTGCCTGAAATCCCAAGGAGCTGCCCATTGGTGTATACTAGCCTTTCCCAACCGGGTGCCCTGTAGATGTTTGGAGCCGCAGCTCCCATCAGCCATAACCAGCATGGCTAAAGATCTGGTATGATGGCAGTCGTCCAAAAATCCGCTCTACTTCCCAGTGGGGAGGAGTTGCGGTGGACCACATGGCCACCCACTCCCCTCTGGGGGTGGGGGATGAAGTCCCACGTCCCTTGGAGGTTCCCAGCCAAGTCATTTTCCTGCCAGCCAATCCGCTGGCTGGGGGGCGTAGCCGGGCCCATTTAAACTGAGGTGCGAGCCGGAGAGCTTCCTCTTGGCTCACTTCCTCAATCGCCATTGCGGGGCCTGGTAGGAATTTTTCCACTTGGCAAATTGCCATGGGCCATTTGGTTTTCGCCTATCTCGTAGCAATCGTCACAACTTCGTAAGGTTTGGCGGTTAGGCATTGGTTGATTTTATGATGGGGGAGGGGAGGTGTGGCCATCACCTGCGCCTCCAAGTTTAAGAGTATTCCATTAAAGGAATCCGGGGATGTGGATCTTGTCCAAAGTCCGGGGCTAGGCTAGGGCCATGCCACAACCCTGTCAGGAACCCAGGGGGAGCTCGAGTTGGTTTGCATCGACGGGGCTTCCCCTACCGGTGGTTGACCCTTACTGGACTCCCTGCATGACGGGCAGGAGTCAGATATAGTAAAGGTAAAGGGACCCCTGACCATTAGGTCCAGTCGTGACTGACCTTGGGGTTGCAGTGCTCATCTCACTTTATTGGCCGAGGGAGCCGGCGTACAGCTTCTGGGTCATGTGGCCAGCATGACTAAGCCGCTTCTGGCAAACCAGAGCAGCACACAGAAACGCTGTTTACCTTCCCGCCGGAGCGGTACCTATTTATCTACTTGCACTTTGATGTGCTTTCGAACTGCTAGGTTGGCAGGAGCAGGGACTGAGCAACAGGAGCTCACCCCGTCGCAGGGATTCGAACCGCTGAACTTCTGATCAGCAAGTCCTAGGCTCTGTGGTTTAACCCACAGCGCCACCCACGTGCCTAAGCAAGCGCTGGTAGAGATGTAGAAATGCAATGGGTGATCACATACCTTCTTGTAAAGGTTCTCTTTCAGTTTCTTTGATTTCTGGATTAGAAGCTCCCCTCTTTCTCTTTTACACAAGAAGTCTTTTAGGAGTTCCTGTTTCGGGAAATAAATTTTTTTAATGTGAGCTTGGCATTTTAACATGCATCCGTTGTCTCACCGGGGCTCGGTCTGAATAGCGCAACCTCCAGCCACCGCAAACCATGCCAAATGCAAATAAAAAACAACAGCAATAAAAGTCTGCTAAATTTCACCATTAAGAGGTGTGCACAACTAAGGCAGACTCCCACAAATTGAGCCAGGGGCCACAAATAGAGTTCAAAAGACACAAAGCTGATTACAAAATACAGAAAGGTGTGTAGAAAAGGAAGCAGAATCAGGAAAAAGCTGGGTCGGTTGGCATCAGTAAGAAGCACTTTTTCTTTAATATCCCAAATACAGAAAAAGAAATGTCCTTTGTTTTGGACAAAGCATTTACCTAATTATTTGCCATAATTAAAGTTCATAAAATATAAAGAATAAAAGTACAGTGGTACCTTTAGATACGAATGGGATCTGTTCCAGAGCCCCGTTCGCATCTAGAGGTAAACGTATCTAGCGACGACACGTCTGCACATGCGCGCGTCGCTTTTCGCCGCTTCTGCGCATGCGTGTGACGTCATTTTGAGCGTCTGCGCATGCGCAAGTGGTGAAACCCGGAAGTAACGCACTCCGTTACTTCTGGGTTGCCATGGAGCGCAACTCGAACGCGCTCAACTTGAAGCAAATTTAACCCGAGGTATGACTGTACAAAAATCTATCCATAGACTTAAGGGGATTTTCCTTAAAACATCCATAGTAATTGGTATCAATAACTTATGCTACAAAATTTATTGACAAAACACATTTCCTCATGTACAGTGCTTTTTTTCTGGGGGCCGCAGGGGTACGCATACCCCTAAACATTTTGTGAATCCAAGTTTGGCCTCCTTGAGGGGCAGTCTTTCAATATGAGTAGGAAAATGAGAGTACCCCAAACATTTATTTTAATGGAAAAAAGCACCAACCATGTATCATATAGCAGAAATTAGCCAATGCGCACTTAACTGAGAGTAATCTCACTGGACACAGTGGAGTTTGTTTCCAAGTAAATGTAGAAAGGACTGAACAGAAAATGGAATAAAGACACAAAGTAAACGAAAGAAGTCAAGTAGGGAGGGGGGAGAGCTTTTAATTACCTCTTCCAGACACACATCTTCGTTCCAGTTGCCAATCAGCACCCCAGGGCTGTATTGTCTGCCACTCATGCTAGTCCTTAGGTTGAACATTTTGGGTGACTTTGAAGGCTAGCCTTAAAATCGAGGAGGTAGATGCCACACAACACCCTGGGCAAGGCGGTACACCCGCTACTGTGAGAAAGATGATCTGTGTTGACAGGTTGCCATGGGGACCTTGTGTGTGCACCTGGGATTGGCCCTGCTGGAGGAGTGCTGCTAGCCAATCGGAATAGGGAAGAATGGCTGAGAAAGGAGGTGGGGGCTCTTGCCATCCCTTTAGCCTTGGGACAGAACTGGGACCATCCATAGATGGGACGTATATTTTATAAGCAAGAGAAGGGGAGAGAATGGAATTAATTGGGCTGTGATTTGTGTACACACAAAAAAACTGTAAACAATAAATAAATATCTAGGGGGGGAATTTGATTTTATATACTCTTATTTCCTTGTTTTATTGTAAATCGTGTTATACTGTGAACCACCATGTACAAAGGGTACAAATAAATAAACTAGATTCAAATAATTTAGATTCAAATAGATAGACTCACAGAGAGTACACCTTCCCTGTATGTTTTAGATGCTTCCTGAAAACTTTTCTGTTTCAGCCGGCCTATCCAGACACATGATTTAGTTACATGTGTATCAAATGCTTTTACTGATTTTGTCCTGTTTTTCAGTGATGGTTATATGTATATTTGTTTTTGATTGATTTGTGGATTTAAGTCATTTTTAAAATATATAACTGGACTTTTTTTTTGTTTTTGGAATTGGGATTTGCACACACCTAAATGAAAATCCGTGTTACAGTTTGCAGGCTGTAGTTTTAAGTACATGCTTTGAAAATTACTTAGCAGAGCATGGCCTGAATCGCCAATAAAAATGTCTCGTCCTCTTGGTTTGCTTACATACTACAACCTGCTAGAATTTCCTAACTAGCTGAACTTGAAATATGAATCCCTGTCAACCACATGCTGGAAATCATACACTCATAGTTGTCAACTTACAGATTTGAAAATAAGGGACCAGCAGCCAAAATAAGGGACCTGCAGCCTCACCTGTTCCAGGCACTCCAGTCTTCCTGTCCTCCTGCAGTCTGGTCAAACTCATGCTGGTAGCTTCGAGAACACTGTCCAACCAACTTTGTAACCAGAGGTTCAACTGAATAGAATCTGAATCACATGCACCACAAGGCCTATGCAGCCTCAACTTAAGATGGCTCCCCGGCCTGGCTTTGCACTGCAAAGTGTGCAGCAGCACGTGCAACAAAATGGTGTCCAGCATTCAAAAAACCCCTCAGCTTGCATTAACTAGCCACACACAAGGCATGCAAGCTCCACCCCCCAGTCGTTCTTAGACTTCTTATTGGGTGAGCAACACAGCCAAGCAACACAGCTGGAGCCTCCCTCCTCCCTGGCCGGCAGGGAGGGAGGGAGGGAGAGGAGCTGCTTCCTTTGAAATTTAAGGGACATCATTTAAGGGACATTTAAGGTACATCCATAAATAAGGGACAGCAGCGGGACATGGCGCTGGAATAAGGGACTGTCCCTTCAAATAAGGGACACTTGACAGGTATGCATACACTGAGGGCTCATCCACAATTACTTTTTGCCCCATACTTTCTAGGCAGAAGTCCGCACTGTATTGAAACAACTGGCATTTCAGGTTTTCTGCGGAATTGCCTTCAGCGGTTAAGAGTGGGGTTTTGCAGGGAAAGCACTGGGGCCAAAGAAAAAAAAAGCATTCCAACTCAGAGCTTTAAGTGGGACCTGTGCTTAAAAAGGTGCCATGAAAGGATGAGCCCTTAGTTCAACTTACACATCTTGAATAATGTACCGGTAATTCTAGGTGGTGTACCTTAGTACAACAGCTCCATCTTGTGGCTTATTTAGGTCAACTCATTTTCTGGCTAAATTCATTTTTAAAGTTGGTTTGCAAAACTCCTCCTCTGTGCGGCATATATAAGAGGATGAATAAGCGTTAGTTTTTGGTTAAGATTATTGATAACTGCCAAATCAGGATTTTGGAAGCAACATGAATGGTGGTGATTTAGGAACATCTTAGAATAATCACATGAAACTGCGCGGCATCATAAAGAGATTACATTTTAGAATGTGAACTTCTTGTCGTTGTCTTTGCAAAATCGAAGGTTTTAATTAAATTAGGATGTCTGGTTTATCTCAAGCATGTTTGAGATGATGTTTTAGCTATATATGCACATGACTTAACTACATGAAAGGCAAGTTGCTTCTGATTAAATCATTTCCCAGATATATGCAACCGGATCTCCGGGTTTTCGTTTCCCCTTTCCCTTCACAATTAAACCAATGTTTAATTAACTTCCTATGTTCGTCAACATGGTTCTGCAACAATTGTTCTTTTTAACAAAGCACACAAAAAATGCTTATATCCTGCTGTTAAACTTATTTGCAAAATTATGGAAGGCTCGTGAGTGGTTTCATATTTGTGATAAAGGTTAGAAATGTGGAGAATGTTGATATTAACTGATGATTTTTAAGATTTTTATGAGGTGGGGAAGTCTGGAAATGTTTGTGTTCTAAGCTTTGCTTTTGATACTTGCAATCATGTGCTTTATTGATAAGCAAAGGAACTGTAATGTTCTTTATATATAACTCTGGGCATAGAACATGAGTATTAACTGAAAAACTGGAGTGCTAAAATCCATTGCCCAACCAGACAACAACTAGAGACATTCAATTGGCATTGACATTTAGAGGTAAATCTTATAATGGTTGTGATTGTTTTACTGACGCTGTTCTCTGAATTTTCTAACATTTCTGTTTGGATCTCTTAAAATATTGAAAACATTTTCTAACCACCGAGTTCCTATAATATAAATTTTATTCTAGAATAAAACCCTCTGGCAAAATCCATCTCTCTCATAATTTGTGAGCCCGTGAATTTCTTACCCCAGTTGTGTTTATTGCCCATCTTTGAATCCATAGAAAGACATACCTTATTTTTTGCTCTATAAGACTCACTTTTTCCCTCCTAAAAAGTAAGGGGAAATGTGTGTGCATCTTATGGAGCGAATGCAGCCTGCACAGCTATCCCAGAAGCCAGAAGAGCAAGAGGGATTGCTGCTTTCACTGCGCAGTGATCCCTCTTGTTGTTCTGGCTTCTGAGATTCAGAATATTTTTTTTCTTGTTTTCCTCCTCCAAAAACTAGGTGCGTCTTGTGGTCTGGTGCGTCTTATAGAGCAAAAAATACAGTAGTTGATACAACCCATTGTCTGTATGTGTGCAGATAGCATTTTGCAATTTTTGGGGGGGGGGCAGAGGGAATTTATTGTTTTCAAACCTATTTCTGCTGTGGATTCTAAGAAGGGATATTTTCATGCCATATTTTCATCCAAGGGATTTTTTCTCTTCTCTTGTTGGACATGTGAATAGCATGTCGGCCTCTCATTAACTGTGGAAAAGGAAGACAACCCAACTCTTCAGCATCTGCTCACCAGAGCAATCTGCCTGGGTCTTCTTTTTAATATGCTGCTCTGACAAGTACCATATTTTCTGAAAAGCTGCTTTCTCGTCTTTGGACTTTGAAGATGGTACATCTGTTTTCTAATTGTACTTCTCTCTGTGTGATAGGTAATATACTAATGCCAAAAAAAAGGGGGGGGGAGATGACTCGTCTCTTTCCAAGCTGTGAATAATGTGGCCTTATATACATAGCTAAGTGACAGCATCTTAAAAAGTAGAGACATCACCTTGCCAACAAAGGTCCGTATAGTAAAAGCTTTGATTTTCCCAGTAGTGATGTATGGAAGTGAGAGCTGGACCATAAAGAAGGCTGATCGCCGAAGAATTGATGCTTTTGAATTATGGTGCTGGAGGAGACTCTTGAGAGTCCCATGGACTGCAAGAAGATCAAACCTATCCATTCTTAAGGAAATCAGCCCTGAGTGCTCACTGGAAGGAGGCTCCAATACTTTGGCCACCTCATGAGAAGAGAAGACTCCCTGGAAAAGACCCTGATGTGGGAAAGATTGAGGGCACAAGGAGAAGGGGACAACAGAGGACGAGATGGTTGGACAGTGTTGCTGAAGCTACCAGCATGAGTTTGACCAAACTGCGGGAGTCAGTGGAAGACAGAAGTGTCTGGCGTGCTCTGGTCCATGGGGTCACGAAGAGTCAGACACAACTAAATGACTAAACAACAACAACAAGTGATGTATCCACTTGCAAAGAAGGAGGCATTGGGAAGCTTGGAGGAAGCAAAAATTATTGGAGAAAAGTAATGAGCTGTTGAGGGATGTGGGTGGCGCTGTGGGTTAAACCACAGAGCCTAGGACTTGCCGATCAGAAGGTCGGTGGTTCGAATCACAGCGACGGGGTGGGCTCCCGTTGCTCAGTCCCTGCTCCTGGCAACCTAGCAGTTTGAAAGCTCGTCAAAGTGCAAGTAGATAAATAGGTACCACTCCGGCGGGAAGGTAAATGGTGTTTCCGTGTGCTGCTCTGGTTCGCCAGAAGCGGCTTAGTCATGCTGGCCACATGACCCAGAAGCTGTACGCCGGCTCCCTTGGCCAATAAAGCGAGATTAGCGCCGCAACCCCAGAGTCGGTCACGACTGGACCTAATGGTCAGGGGTCCCTTTATCTTATTACTGGGCTGTTGGGATCCTGCCCCCAAAACAGTCCAGTGAACTCTGAGCAAGCTCAGTGACCATGGAATCCTGACAGTTAAGAGGGGAGGAACCAGGAAACTGTTCGGCATGTGTTCACCAAAGCAACATGTGTGTGTTCATTTTAATATGCCAATCTCACTATTCCGACAAACAGTCAGAATAGTGCTATATAGGGAAAGGCTGTAGAATGTCTGCTTTTCTATGTACAGGGTCCGAGGCAAGAAACTGTCAGAGTTTGAGGACACATTCCAGCCAGGCAAAAACCCTTAAGCAGGGTGCAAAGCAAGACCAGTAAGAGAGGTGGCTGAGACGAGAACGGATGTGGCTGAGGAGGGGTGTGTTCTAGGGAGAATTCCAACAGCCAGAGAGACCCAGAGGGCCACATTGGGCCCCCAGACCTGAGGTTTCCCCTTCCTGGTCTAGAAAAAAAGATTAGAGGTGAGGAGAATTTCCCATACCCTCCAAACTTTCTCTGATGGAAATAGGGATGTTCATAATAATAATACCCCACCCATCTGACTGGG